TGCGGTCATTTGAAATTTTAAGCTATTTTTAACTATTTAAAATTGCTTTTATATTGTTATTGACTCTGAAAATGTAATGTATTTTGTGGTGCGTGGTGAAAGGAAATTTCTAGTTGTGCTGCATTTCTCGCAAAAATTACGTTATTTTATTTTTAGCAAATTACACGTCATAAACTTTCCAATGGATATGAGCCTGTTGACAGGCTTAGCGAAAGCTGTTTATGAAGAAGTGCCTCCACAGTATCGTCATCCAATATCGGAAGAGACGTGGGAAGACTGGGTTGTTTCCTGGCGAAAGAAACATGCTATTTTTGATGAGTGATCTATTCGAACGGATTATTAGTAATTTTTGTTTTGTTCTACATTATTTTCGTTTTAGGTTTTCATCTTATCCTTTTCCTTTTCTTACATCTTGCTCAATGTAGGGCCAAAGCTTGTTAAACACAGAACTTCCTGTGAGTTTTCTTCAGTCTTCTGAATTACCGCAGAACAGTGATCGTGAGATCTCATGGGTTATTTATTACAAATGTTGTTGTATAATTTGTTATCCATCTTTTGGTGTATGGTTTTTGACTTGTGGTTTTTTACACTCTCAAATCTTCGTGCGTTCAATTTGGCTGAACAAGCTGCAGTCAAAATAACTGCTGTATCTCATTTAGGAATAGTTTCGCTTAGTCTACAACTTTTTTTTCTGTCTTGGGTAGTAAATTTACAGAAACAGTTGCTGCATAAAGTTTGCTCATATTTTAGCTTTCTAGTCATTAATAATTTCTATCTTCTCTCAGTTTCGTGTCATAGCTTTATTATTGTTTTTTACTCGTTTACTCGTTTAATACTCAGGCTTTAAAGAATATAGATAGTTACTAATATAGAAATGTCAGGATTTTCTTTGCTTTTTTCTTCGTGTATGTGCGTTTGTGTGTGTGCGGACGTGTGGGTGTGTGTGTATGTTGTTTGTTTGTTTGTTTGTTTATTTGTTTGCTTTGATTTGCGTTTCTTTGTGTCATACCTGTAGAAGAAAATTTCTGTTAAAGTTGGTTTTATTATTATTTTTCTTAAAGATATCCATATTTTCATCTTTCTCCTTTCTTTTCCGACTACAAGTGATCTCTTGATGCTCGTGACTCCAGTTTTACCGATTCCCGTTTTATTATTATGCATCCACTTGTTAAATCTTTATACGATCTTAAGATAAAGTTTAGTTCTTAATATTTATTGGTATTATTTAAGAAGAAGAAAAAAAATCATGAGAATTCTGTTGTTTTCTTCATTTTTTTCAATTGTACAAGGATTACATGCAATGTAACGTTAAAACTTGATTGATCTTATTAGCACAAATTTATTTGGAGTAATGCCACAGCTTTTTGAGGTTTTGAACTCCCTGTTATTTGCACTCGCTGTAGTGTGTTATGAATGTTTAGTAATTAAAGATTTTTAAAAATTTTTTTCGCACCTTTTAGCTTGCACTCGACGGTGTGCTGAAGAAGAAGTACAGATTTGCCGGTAACTTAAGGCATTAAAGGTGCCCGAGGAATTGAGTACTTGGTTATTCATCCTTCCGTTGAAATAGTGAATAGACAAACTGTTATGACAGATGGAAATGAAGCAAAGCTAAACAATTAATTTTAGAACAATCGGATTACACAGTGAGAAGGGAAGTAAGTTTGAGTGAGGAAGTGCTTAATAACGTTTAACTTTAATGCCACAAGTTCTGCCCGAATTAAGTTTGTGTTGGAAGAAGAATGTTTTGGTTACAGCTTTCTAAATGAATCATTTGGGACTGAGGATTGTGACTATCTGAGAATGACTGGTGCATGAAGTCATGACCACATAGGGAATACCTTGTAAAAATCAATGAGGACTAGTCGGCTTGCATGTAGTTTTTAGGAAATGATTTCTGTCGAAAGGGGTTTACGGACTTGCAGATTTTGTAAAACACAAGTTCGATTGTTCAGACTTGCTAAGATAAGCCTACTAGGATCACGCTCATCCGCGTGACAGAAATTTTGGCTTATGCTCTAAGGGATGCCATTGATACAAGTAGTCTAGGCTTCTTTCAAGCAAAGGTGGTTATCTTCGTTTCGTAGCATAGCAAACCTCTAATGCATAGGCTGTAACAGATAAAATGAATGCTTCGGTTAGGTTAAGAAGAGCTGAAGAAACGGTAAATTTTCCAACCTAATTTACTGCAGAAGAAAGTATGGCACAAAAATATTCTTACAAATACACAGAAGTGTTGAAAACTTGTGAAAATTTAATAAATTTATGGCCCAGAAACGGAAGCTGAACCTAAATGAGACAAACAGGGGGGTGAAACTTTGGTAACCCTGGTGCCATAACCTGGTATTTGTTACACTGAGAGAATATCAACTGTATTTTGCTGTCTCAAGAGAAATACAATGACATTCTTATGTAGCATGTCATCATGCTTTTCATCAACGGAATCAGCCAGCAAAGCCCGACGAATTTTACAGTGGTTTGTCTGCAGTCCTATAACCCTACCCCCAAACATATAAATAAGGTCGGTCACCAAATCTTGCTATAGCGTGCTACACGGTATTACGGTGTCTGACGTCAGGCAACCGCAAACTGAGTAATACATATTATTACACATTTTCAAAATAAAGTTTATTATATCGCTAAAAAAAATGTCGTTCGAAGACAGTGGAGCAGCTTTGACAACAGACCTTTCCAGACCGCTGACAAGCATCAGCAACAAAAGCAAATGAAAATGTGAGAAAGCAACTACATTAAGGGAACAAAAGTGTTTCTGAGAAGCACAGATGGAACTGCATTATGTTTTAAAGGTACTTCTAGCACATTATTTACAAATACAGTCATACATTTTATAAAATGTTTTATCTGGATTAGTAGAAAAAAAAGAACAATTCGGGCCTATTTTAGGAAAAAAGACTATATTGCAACAGAAATCAGTGATTTGACGCTAAAATCTCTTTGTTGGCTTTTAAAGTTTATATGTCATCATTATCTGCTGGATTAGTTTTGGCTCCATTTTCCAACAAAAGTTTAACGATATCTAACTGTTCGTTCACAACTGCGATCATCAGCGGTGTAGACTTAATAAATAGAACAAATAATTATGAACTGATGGCACAGTGGGGATATGCCAAATTCTTCTCAATTTAGCTTCTCTATTAGTTTTTGATAAAAAGAATATTTTTAAAACGCTTTAACTGATGCTGAGTATTTGTTTATTTACATTTTTTTTGATTGCTTACAGGAAGGGATGTTCAATAAAATCTAGATTTGGAATTGTAAATTACGTAAAAGCAGCAACCACAAAAAGTTTAGATAAACTATTCTTTTGGCAGTCTTATTAAGGCCTTCCCAAAATTTAACTATAAGAAATTTTTAAAATCCGTGAAAAATTTCCAGCCTTATAAACGTAAAATGATTTATCCATTAAGATAGAATGTCAAAGTTTTTTTTGGGCGTTTATACAGTTAACAGTTGTCAAGAAATTTTACCTGATGTTTACTTTTCGCATTAATGTCAGCCATATTTTTCATCAAATAACTCAAAATTTCTGTATGACCATTTTGTGAAGCGCACATTAACGGTGTAAACTGAAACAAAAACAGAAATGTTATTGATTTGCCCGCAGCTTTAAAAGTATATCGTATAAAAATCGGCTTCTGCATTTGTTTTCTAAGTATAATATATTTTGAAATAAGAAAAAAAATTTTCAACTTCTCTGTAAAGTCATTCTGTAAAGAACGACCTCTTTGTTAAGTGCAAAGAAAAGTTATAAAACAAGTAAGAAAATTAGTGTGCACGTGAAAAGTCCAAAGGTCTTCAATTCTGTAGCAGTCGTTAAAAATGTTGACAAAAAATTTCTAAACATGATCATCGCTATCAACTTCAATTTCTCCTAATATAGTTTCTAATTATCTATAGCTTTTCTTAACTTCAGATTTAGCCAGAAAAGAATGATTAAAGACAGGCCTGAAAAAACTTTTTAAAATTTTCAATTCTACAAACAAAATTTTTACTCCGTGAATGTTCCTTGCATTGACATTGGCACCTTTACTAACCAAATATTTTACCACATTGAAGTGTCCATTTAAGGAAGCAAACATCAGTGCTGTCCACTGAAATGTCAGGTCAAAATATTACAATGTAACTGTTTTGAAAGTATTTTTTAAAAGATGTTTTATTATAAATTATGATTATTTAAGTTTTTTTCTTGCGGTATCAAGAAAATGTCTTACCCCCGTGTTATTTACCGCATTAACATCAGCTCCGCAATTCACCAAAAATTCAACGGTTGCAATATTACCACTTTCAGAAGCGTTCATTAACTGTATCCACTGAAAATTTGCTTTGGCAAAAAAGTTTCCTTGTTTTGGTAAAACCAAAAAACTGCAAAATTGATTAAGTACAGAACTAGCATCAGAATCTGTTTTACTGTTCCCCTACAGTAACAGATGTTCTAAAAAAGTTTCTTCGTGAAGGAGCTGTTTTACCAATTAATTTTTTCTGCTTTTTTAGCAAACTACCAATAACAGTGATGTAACATGAAAACTACGAAATGAGCAATTAGTAGTAGTCAAATTTAATTTCTATTATCTGCTGTGTCAAAGTTAATTTCCTAGTTAAACTCAATTTTAAAAGTGTTAATCTTTTTGATTTTCAACTTTATGATGCATTATACACTTTGGTCATCTGAAACAGAGTTAACTATCGTTTTTCAACTGATTTGACAGCAAAAATGTGTCATCATTTCGAGTTTTTTTTCAAAAACTTTATTAGAATTTTATTGTGCGTCTGATTACAAAAGGTATTGCGTCTGATTACTATGCGCTGCATTTGCAGAATTCTTCAAGCTTAATCTTACTGCAACAAAGAACTCAATCAATAAACAAGCTTTAAAAACTGTTTACCATTGTAAGCAGCAGACAAAATTAGGTGAATAAGTAAGCTTTCTCTTTAATGCAGCTATACCTGATTTTCATGGTTTGCTTTTGTGTCAACACTATTTTTTGTCATATTGTTTAAAATGTCAGCATTATTTATCCAGGACGATTCAAGTAACGACGAGACCGGGGACGACTGTTCCAAAGGACTTCGAAATTCAGACTGTAAAAGAGATTTGCAAGCAGCGTTTCTGTTATTAAATTCCAAATTTTATCAAAAGTACAATTTCTTTAAATTCATATATTTAATATAGATTTACTGATTTATTTCAACTACCACTGCCTGTCGCAAAAGCTCAGTTGGAAAACAACTTTAAAGTTGACGAAAAATTCGTAAAATTTTGCTGGGATAAAAGTACTTTAGTATATGAAAAACTTTACTGGGAATATTGTTCTCTTATTTAAAGATTTTTTAAAATTTTACTGAGATTTTCTAAATTATCAGAATTATTTAATCTAGTTGCATTCCATAAACCTATGTAAATCTTAGAACAACAGAAAATTTATAGTGTAAAATTTTACGGAAATTCTATATTCTATCAATAAACTGTTAAACACGGTCCACAAGATGCAAATAAAAGAAAAGATACTTCAGAAGAAAAGTACAGCCGTTTTGTTGTAGAAGTTCCTAAATTGGTAAGTAAAATTTTTGTTCCGTTGTATTGTCTTCTGTTGTTTTTGGCTCCCATTGCTATCAAAAAAGCAGCAAGTTCAGTGTGATTATTTCGACTGGCTAAGGTAAATGGTGCCTCCTTTAATAAAAAAGAAAAAGATTAACAGCCAAAGCTTTGCATTTCTTAACGATAACAAATCAAATTCCCTGTCTAACACTTTTTCAGTTGACTAAATACCGTCTAGCTGCATACTTTACTTCTACAAAAAATCGTTAACTATAGTAAAAAAAAAGAAATTCTAAATATATTCAATAGAAAGATGCATTATTTTCATTAGATAAAAATGTAAGAACCTTAGAAGAGTTTTTTTCAACATTAATAAAAGTTGTCAACAAAATTTTTATGAAAACATCTTCGCTTGCAAGTTTTCATTGACGGTTTTCAAAACATATAAAGCGGCAAAATGTAAAATTGCAAAATACGTTCTACTAACTGTTCGCCTTTTTTTTTTTCCAAAGATTTACCTGCTTTTTATTTTTTACATCAACTTTAGCTCCGGCATTTATCAGACATTCAGCAATGTCTCGATATCCCATTTGACATGCAGCATGCAGCGCTGTGCACTGGAATTTAAAAAACGATTGCCTTACACCAAATTAAAAGAGAAGACTTGAAACTATGAAGCAGAAAATCTTAATACTTTTCTAAGGTTGTCGCATACTTAACGGTGTTTACCAAAATTTGTAGAAGAAAAACCACAATAGTTTTGTGCTTTACAGCAAAAGATCATGTCAGTACAATTATATACCCAATTTCCATCTTTAACGTTAACGTCGGCCCGTTTTTCCAACAAACATTTTACAATTTCAAGGTAGCCTTTCTCAGCCGCAATAAACAGTGAGGTACGCTAGAACAAGCTGAATTTAATGCACCAAATTACAGAGAAATTTGTTTTGATATAAGAAATAAAATTGTTTGGATAATTGATTTCAATTCTACCCCTTCTTTGTTTTTTGCATCCACGTCGACTTCCTTATTCGTCAGATATTTTACCACATCTACTTGGCCATAATAAGATGCAACCATTAGTGCTGTGAACTAAAACAGAAAAATATGTTTACTGAACAAATTAAAGACTGAAATGTTAGTTTCTCTTAGCCGGTGTCCCTCTTAACTTATTGCCAAGAATTTGTAAAACAGTTATTTTGTCAAGACTTAATTTTTTAAACAACTGTAATTTTTAAAAGGCAGACAAGCAAAAAAGTATCTTGTTTGGCCAAACTAAGAAAATATCTTTATGCGGCAATATTCAGTATTTCAGTGTAAAACTTTAGTAATCAGTAATCGAATGCTTCAAAGCTCGCTGCGTTACCTTCAATCAATGGTATGGCTCAAAGTCCTACCAGAAAGCCATTGAAATTTGCTGAAGTGGCAGCTGATATTAAAAGAAAGTGGGAGAAATCCAAAAAAAATAAAATAAAATAAAATAAAATGCTAGAGATTTCTAGAAGAAAATCCAACAGAATGCGAAAAACAAGAAAATAGACTACATTACTGGTAAAAAAAATTCTCAGTTTTTCTCGAAGCAAGTTATAAACAAATCCTTTTGAATTTCAACATATATGTTCGTAGTTGAAGAGACCCACATTTTACTCCTGTCAGGAATAAGCGCTCTGCTACTCTCTTTCTCTTTTTTTCTTTCAAATAATAAATTACAGTCGCAGAATAGATTTGAAGCATATTTAAAAATTGCTTGATTAATAAAATTTTTGTTTTATGTACCCCGTCTTCATCTTTCGCATTAACGTAGGCTCCATTTTCTACTAAATCTTTAACGATTTCGATATGTCCATTGCGACACGCATTCCGCAGCGAATTCCTCTGCAGTTTACAAAAAATTACTTTGAATGCGTCAAACATGTTAATTTTCTCAATCATTTCCAATTTCGAAGGAAAAAGGAGCTCGCAGCAAAAAGCAACCGATACAAATTAAGAAAATTTTTTGTCTCAGATATACCCCATGGACATCCTCTGCGTTAACGTCAGCTCCTTGTTGCAGTAAATATCTTACACTCTTAACGTGACCTTTCAAAGAAGCGATCATTAACGGTGTCCACTAAATTAGAAAAATAACGTTATCTAATCGGATTCACTACATTTGCTAACAAAATTCTAAGAAGCTCAGCAGTGTCTAAAAAACAAAAATTAACGATTTCTTCAAAAACCTTAAAACTGCCCACTTGTACTACCAAACATTCAACTGAAAACTTTCAAATTCGTAATTGTTCTTTATTTCAAAAGTACTCAGGTTTCTTGGTTGAAGAAAGAGTACTGAGAAAACTTCAACTGTAACATGGTTACTCTAATTTACCCAATCTTTATTTTTTGCATTGACGTCAGCACCATTCCGAGATAAATACTCTACTATATCGAGACAGCCAATCCGAGATGCAATATACAACGATGTACGCTAAAATAAACAAAGTTTTTTAAAACAGCGATAAAACTCAACTTCAACAAGAAATGCATCATTTTTTGTAATTTCACGAAATTTATAAACCGATAGCTACCTTCCAAAAAAAAAA